CGTGAGATATGTATGCGATTGGAGTGAATGTCGCAAACAGCTTACAACAAAACAGTCTTTACTTCAACACAAAAGTTGCGTTCATTTGAATGAAAGGAAATTCAAATGTAATGAAGAAAATTGTGGCAAAATGTTTACCCAAAAAACACACCTCAATCGACATAAACACATACATTGGAGGGTAAAACTAAAACCCATTAGTTTGTCATTTCATTGATTGTCGCAAAAGCATGTGAATTGACATAAAAATGGATGAAATCTCACCAATGCAAATGCGATTAAAGTAGATGTCACAAACAGTTTTCTAAACTACAGCTACTATACTATTTGAACACAAAACCCACATTTAAAATATATTTAGTAATACTTAAGAAATTTATAACTTTAATTTATCATTTGATTATATTAGTTTCTAATAATAAACATAATGGTTTATTAAATAATAATAGTAATACTTATACTTTTATTTCACTTCTGACATATTAAATATATTATATTATAGTTAGCAACAAGTATATATTTTTATGTATCCTAATTAGTTACATGATTTCCATTACAATATATATTTATAATGATTCAATAAACTTTATAGTGTACCGACTATTGTTTTTATTTATAGTATAATAAAGTTTATACAAATACTAATCAACAATTATTAGCAGAATGTTTTTATTTCAATGCATTTATTTATGCGGTCATCACTCATAACAAACATTACATTACATTCAAAATATAATTTCTATTATTTAATATGTCATACAATACACAATCATCTGTTATTATATTATATAAAACTAATCGTGCAACTATTTCTATTGACTAGCCCTCGAAATAGGGGTACTCGGCGTAGGTTCTCAAAAAGAACTTGGTGCCCTCAGTTTTGGTTTTGTACGAGCTCAGTTTAATGGCATCCTCGCCCAGGGTGCCCGACAAGGCGGCGTCCACTGCCGCACACTTGCCGGCCTTATAGTCGTCATACGAGGCGCACTGGAGGGCCACCCCCTTGGGGTTCTCGGCCTTCAAACTGGACATATAGAACTCTACGGCCCGCAAGTGATTGCAGGGAATGGGGTCCAGTATACAACCCGGCTGAGTGTGACCACCATTGGGGTAGAAGTCCACGTGACCCGAGTTCTCGTGGATACCCAGACCGATGAGTATGGGGTCGGCGTCCGAGTGAATGGAGTCCACGAATACCGCCTAACAATATGAACAGAGAAATTAGTTTTAAAAAAACAAATATAATCAAGGTCGGGACTAATAAAAAGTTTTAAGGGTCATTCAATATGTACGTTACGCTTGTTATTGGGGCGGGGGGTAAAGGGTGAAAAATATGCATGCGTGTATAATGTTAAATTTATTTGTATTAGGGGATTGTCTTTAATTGTTGCATACGTACTCATTGAATCGCCCCTTATATATCTATAGTACTTACATCGGTTGGCTTAAGTTTTTGTGTGGCTCCATCAAAAAGGGGCCCTAAAAATAATTACTCATAATTAAAAAATTTATAAGTAATATTTTAATTTTTCGCACATACCAGCCGGGTCCAAACCGGTAATCCTGGCCACCTGTCCCTTCAAGTCCTCGCCGGCAAACCCTGCGACGTGTGCGCCCAATGAGTGGCCCAGTATGTGGACGTCACTCAGTTTTAGACCTTTCAGATCCTGGTAATAGTTATGACAAATTTTTTAAAAACTTATATATACTATAATTTTATTAACAAATTCAAACCTGTAGATCCTTGATCATATTTGCCACCACTTGTCCCGTAACATGAGTATTGCGCACAGCCTATAGGGGTAATATAGTGGTTTAATAAATTTACCTATTAGGATTTAATAATATAATATAATATAATACAACATTTATATTAAATAAATTTATGTGTCTGATAAATATCTGTTGATGTTAAATGCGAGTTAAAATGTACTACATCAGTTTAGAATTATCACACATTCAACTCTGCTTTCATAACACA